GCAACCATCCCTTCGTAAGACCGTGATGGCGAAGCGAAAACATACTCCCATTTTGAGTCCTACGTCCAACTATTTTGGAAATACGCAGCTCCGTTGGACGCGCAACCGGAATTCGAAAAAATTGATACAAACACTCACAGGCTTTGGAAACAGTGTATAGCCTTTCGTAGCTGATGTTAGGTGCTCCTGAAATCATCAGTGCTATAGTTGTCGTAGTTAGTAATATTTTTTTAAATTGCATCTATCCTGGAGAGGATTAGGTATCAGTATAGGCCATAATTGACAACCCTTTGTGCTTTTCCGTGGTTAACACTAGGACTTGGGTTCAGTAAGGAAATGACGAGAATCTAACTACCCACTAGACAGAAGACGAAAAATACCTTCTCGTATCAATCTTTTATCAACGTTACTGTGCCTAAGAGATTTGTTCGCCGAAGGTTTACAGTACTGTGTTAGAGGCTCAGCCCAAATGGAACCCACAGAACATGGCGAAAAGGTAGGCGGAGGTCCACTGAGAGGAATTCTGACACCTGTATGTAGCCGAAGAAAGTCATGGCCGGGTAGGACATCAGCACATAAGTCCAGTCAGATCGATAGCTACACCTTCGTGTAAACAGCACCATTATATTTAGTCGAGCCGATAACTCGACCTAGCGCAGCTCTTATTAGAGCGGTAGTGGTCATTTTTTGTTGTTAAGAGCTTGATGAATTTTAAAATTATTTCTGAGTGCTACTGAGGACAAGACTTATCACTCAGCACTACATCTGCCTATTAAGGCCTGAAAATCGACCCCGGTAATCTGTAGTTCAACAACTGCATTTGAAAGGCAGTCAGGATAGCAACCGAGGCTACGGCGGAAATGTTGAGATAAGTAAAGGACTGCGGTCTCACGATTCCATGCAAACCTTTTGGAAGTGCCTCCTTTTTGCCGAATTCTTTGCATAACATTTTGCGTACTATGAACTGAAAGCTATAATCTCGGGTGCTTTAGGAGGACTGTATGGAGTTTCACACATCTCAGCTGCGGCCGTTGGAGTGTTTTGGTAAAATAGGGACTGTCTCTGCCAATTTCAGAGGCCTTACCTGTTCATAAGCAGTTTGCAAGTTCAATCCTTTGCTCCAACAGTCTCGTCGCAGCCCGTCTTTATGGAAAGCTACTGATGAAAACATCACTGATGGCGTCCTGCCTGTGTTGCTCTGCCGTAACAGCTTTGAAATCGTAATCTTTAGTTGAGGATTTTAGCTTTTGGACGAGATGACCGACGGTTCGTCCACCTTCTTGTCTGCAGGTCACCGCAAGATGGGGAAAAAAGACTTCATTTTCGGTTTTTGCGTAAAGAGTCTTTCAGTAATCCAACAGCTTCTTCGTAACTGGAACATTCGCTTATGCATCCCAAAGCAGTCAAAACACTCAATTTGTTCGGTTTTTAAACTTTCGATCATTGCCATAAAATTCTCGAACCAGCGAAACCAGCGATACGATTGTTTTTAGGCGTCTGGAGCATTTCAATCCACATCAGATCAATATGGCCCGAGGACTCAATCCATTCTTGAGTTTTAACACAAATAAATTATTCTATATCGAGTACAATCAATCGCTAGAGTGAGATATCACAAAATGAAATAGATAGAAAATTAGAAACGGAAGAATACCCTAAAATTGTGTTTTATTCATACTACAATCGACGTATTTGAATTAAAACAGAAAAAAAAGCAGTAGTGAGATGTAAATTAGTCAGAGAAATAAGTTAGCATGACGATACTTTCATTTTGTGAACCTTATGTCTAAATCGAAGGAAAGATTGTTAATCGGAGACCGAGGGTATTGTCAGTCTGCTTTACGAGTTTCAGCTTGGCATCGGCTCTCCTCCTTGATAAGTCTGCAATCTTTGTTCGATTGCTCCGGCGTGTTTACCGTCGTCATTATTGCAGCCGACTTTAAAAAAATTTTTAAAAGTGACCGATTTAACTGTTGGAAACTACACAGCTGTCATAGTGGGATTCTGAGCATTGTCTGTTTGACTTCACTCACAAAGTAACGCTGAGTTTTGTTATGTTTCCATTGTTTAGCTCTATATTAGATTTGAACGCTTTTTTATAATCTGCGTAGTAGCTATGGGACGTTTTGCTTATCCTGCTCGAACTCAGCCAACCGTACAGCCTTGAAAAACTTTGTCCGAAATAAAAAAAATTTATTCGCAAAAGTCCAAACTCGTTTTCCAAACAACTTCGCGCTTGGGATTGGGATTGGTCGGTGGACTTATTGAGCAACTTTGCTTTTGAGACCCGTCTCTAACCCCGCTTTGTCTTTGTCTGCGCAAGGCTGTCCCGCGCTATGGCTGAAGCGCCAATCAGGACTTTGACTGACGAGGAGCCGAGTGCAGAAAAGATTCCCGCTATTGAAATTATCGATTTACCTGTAGGTCTCCCGTGCTTAACTGTCCACTCTTCCTTAGCCGATACCCCCTATTGCTAGGACATCAACCGGCACGCTGGATGATGAGACCCTGTACTGCAAGTTCCTCTCCGGTGACATGACATTCGAGGACCTGATGAAGGAACTCCACACCAAAACAAGTGCGCCTTTAGTTGTCACCAAAGAGGAGAAGCCAGCCAGACGTCGTGGAAGACCTCCAAAGCCCCGAAAACTGCCGTCTGACTTTGAGTCCGACAGAGAGGAAGCGGGGGGTTCTCAATTCGAGCCTCGTTAGTTTTCCTTTATGCATTTTGTCTTCTTAACTTTGTGCGGCGTCCCATCAGGTAGTGATAGAGGGCAGTACAACTGACTGTCGCTAAAACTACTTTTTTTGTTTCCTCTATTACTTCTCATACTGTCATTATTGCTGTCACCACTACTAGTAATTTTATTTCTATCGTTAGTATTACCGTTCATACTATCGGTATTACTTATATTCCACAGGTTTTACTATTACGACTACTACCACCACAGCCGTTATGACCACGAATTATTAGTATTACTGTCATTAGTAGCACTCCTAATGTTATTACTATTTCTACTTCTGCGGCTTTTCTTATTAGCTCTGCGTTTTCTGCCACTATTACTGGACTGCAATTACTACTATCATTACATCTTTTTACTAGTATTATTATTACCTGTACTGTTGCTACGACTACCACTCCTACTGTTGCCGCCGAAAATTCTTATCCGGCCCATGTTAGTACTTCTACTACGACGACTACTACTAATGCCTTAACCATTGATGCTTCATAAATATTATTAGAACAACCGAATTCTATTAAATGTTAGTATTATTTTTTTCTTCTGCTTCTATTACCACAGCCGTTATGAGCGCAAATTATTAGCCTTATTATCACTACTACCACCCTACAGCTATTATTATTTCTTCTACTGCTACGACCTATAATACTGGTCTTATTAGCCTTGCATCTACTTTTACTATTACTAGGCTGCAATTGCTACTATAACTGTTACTGCATCGAATCACTTATATTATTAATACTTCTACTGTTGCTATTCTCAATATTACTGTTTCTGCTGCTATTACTGCTGTGACTTCTAATCCCGCTCATCCTACTACCAGTGCTATTGCTACGGCTATTTCATAAATAGCACTATTACTATGAATTATTTCTATTAAACGTTAGCATTGTTATCATTACTGCTGCTGCTAATATTGCTTACTCCACTACAGCTAATCCTACTACTGCAACTGCTAAGCTATATAATGCTATTATCAGTGTTTTAACTGTTAAGAATACTGCCGTTATTACCACTACCACTGTTGCTGCTACTAGTTACTAGCCTTATGACTGGTAATACTACTGGCTATTATTAGTCGCACTCCTTGCATTTCCATTATTCTGTCTACAGTCGATGACGAGGATTACGACCCTGACGCAGAAACGGGCCGACGACATAGGAAGAAAAATAAATATCAGCACCGAAAGGTGAGTCCGATTCGGTAATTTATTGAACTTCTAATCACCTTACGGCGCTGTCCCCGTTCGTACTTGCACCTTTCTTCGCTGTGTTTTGATTAGCGCAAATGGGACCTGAATGTGGAGTTAGGAAACTATCTCGGGGAGGCAGAGCGTCATCTCAACATCGGAGAGTTTGTGCTGGCCGAGGAAATATGCCGCAATATCATTAAATCAGGTCAGTCTATGTATTTCTCTGACTGTCTGTCTGTCTGCTTGATAACCGTTTGAATATCCAACTGACACTTTTGCATGAGGTATGGTAGTGACGAAAACGTCGTGCCTTCTCAACAGACCGCGTGGTGGATGCGCTGGACCAATACGAAGGCTAGATCAGGCCACGATAGACGTTAGTCCGGTTGTGCTTCGATAAGGAATGAAAAATGTAGGTGTAGCAGGCTCGGCCGCACCAATCACATGCCTCCGATCCTGCCTCCGGTCTTCTTGATTCCGCCTTTACACTGAGCAGAGCTACGGGAGTAGGAGAAGGAGACTGTGGCATGCGTACGTGAAGGCTCACGCCGCGCCTTAATGGCACTCCCATTCCGTCCGATGTGAGTCAGGCGTGGCCGATCCGGCCGCCCGATCCCGCCTCCGGTCT